AATTGAAAACATAATGAAACCCTCACACTTAGAGATGATAATAAATGGTTTGTCCTTATGACCCTTTTGAGTTATCTTATGCTTAAGTAATCTTCCTGCTTTCAGTGAAAAAAAGCAGGATTAAGAGTGTGCAGGTCTGTCCTTCAGGGATAAGTTTAATGGAGTCTGGTGCTACTGCCGACAGTTCTCTGTACTTCTGATGGACAACCACCAAGTTGAAACAAATATATGGTGAATTTATAGAGACAAATAATACTCAGTGGATGATTTAGAGTTAGAAACAAACAAACAAACAAACAAAAAAAACAAACAAACAATGAATCAGCACAATGTCATTAAATCAGTGTCTTTGAAAAATAAAGGTTTCTGGTCAATACTAGCTTAAGATGGCATAGTGGTACTACTACCTCCTAAAAATCAGTGGCTAGAGAAGATTGCTTCTCCAAAAACTGTGCCCACGGGTAGCTTGGAACAACACACAAAATGCACTGTCCGGCCTGGAGCAAAACAAACTGCGTCACAATAACTGACAGCAGTAAGACCTTATTCTCCATATGACCTCTGGATGACACTTAGGAAGTTAGGACTCATTTACATTGCTGTGAAACAGAGTTGATGATACTCGTCGTATTTCCTTTTGGGAAAGCTCACTTTCCCGAAGTAACAAAGTCAACGTTCAAGAAGCAGACAGCTGCCAACTTTAATGCTGCCTATGTGACTGTGACGGCCCATCCTAATCCTGTTACATTCTTCTCCCTGTCAAGTCCGATGTTGTAGGCAGCAAAAGAAAATGGAAAATCTCCTGCCTTCTGTCCCTGGTCTGGGGCACAGTGAGCACGGTGGGGCTGTGGGAGAATGTAGATGCCAAAGTCTAACACACTGGGAATATACGCAGAGTTCTTTGGGTACATTTATAATGAGTCCAAGTCAGGGTGATTTTTCATTTAGGAAAATAAACAGCCTAGGCCTCACATGTATGCTTCAGTGCCTAAATTATTCAGGTCTAATTGCATTGTATTACAAAGCTTTGTCTTTGTAGATGACAGTCTTTGTACCGTAACTGATTTGCAGGTGTTCACAAGCCTTAAAAAAATGTTTGTCCAAAAAGCAGTGCTTTTTTTTTTTTTGCTATTTTTGAGCCTGCCTAAAAGCCAAACACAATGCTTCAATTAATAAAGTCTAATAGGCTTTTGGGGATCCTGGGATCCCGCCACACTGGTGATCATAGTTGTGGTACTGGAAAATGGTGAGTGTTTTTTGTGGAAGAAGCGGGTAAAAAATAAAATGATGCAAGACTGCATGTGATATTTGCTAACACATGAAAATTATTAATAATGTATGTGCAGAAGCAAGAGGTAAGAGACAGGATTTGGAGGAGTTAATTACCATGTTTCCTGCACAGTTCAAGTATGACTTTGCAAAGCTCAGTCACACTTGGGCTTTTCCGGCTCACTTCAAAACCACAGCTTTGCGAAAAGCGTACAAGCACAGAGAGGCCTTCAGTCCAGCAGCTACTGGAGCAGAGACTACTATGGATGTACAGCGTGTACGCTGCCAATTGCACATGATGTTTCCAAGCAGTTGCCAGTGCTTGGGCTTCCAAGCGCGGCAGCCCCCCAGATGCAGCGCCAGTGATGCTCTGGGCTCCTCTCAGCATCTCCCTTGCGGTGCCCTTCGGCCACGCTTACCCCAGGGAGCCGCTGGCATGGCCTGGCTGCTGGCGAGCTGCGTGACTGCTCTGGCTGCTGCAAGCTGTGCTCAGCAGCAAGGAAAGGGCAGCGGCTGCGTGGCTCTGAGGAGAAGGCACTGAGGATGCACCACGGTACAGGAGCAGGGCCCTGCGGGTCGCCCCTCAGCGGGGTGGCTCTGCCTCGGGTGCGCTTAAATGTGGTGTGGTTGTGGGGCTGCGGGGAATGTGCCTTGGGAGTCAGTCCTGGTGAGTAATCAGCACAGCGTCATTGCTGATAGGAAAATAACCACCCAGCCTACTTGCCCATTTGTGTCTGTTCGTGAGGGTGTATTTCATGTTTAAACGTAAACACTTGTGTTTTGGAGAAGTTAGCTGCTTGCATCACCTCAAAAGCTTAAACTTGGGTTTTTGTTTTGTTAGAATTTACATCATCTTTATTATTCTCAGGCCTCAGGGCTGGTAATTTCCTGTCTGCCTTTCTCAAAGAGCTGGATAATGCCAGGAGCCCCCAGGGCAGGGAAGTGGAGGCAGGCGCCAAGAGATGGGGCCTGTGTGGGTCGGGGCGTGCCGAGGGTGTGCGCCTACAGGAGATGCCAACAGTCAGAGAGCAAACTGTGGACAGGGAGATACATGCAGACCGTGATGGTGGAGAATACTTTGAGTTAAAAACTTGAAAAGCATATGAATGCCTTGTGTTTCTCCAGGCTAAATGAAAGAAGCTAGATGCTACTAAATAATGATTGAAGGGTAATAATATATCAGACTGTGGTACTGTTTGAAGCAGAATTTGAATTCTTGGTGAGTCTGTACAAGATAATTAAAGTTCAGCCCACAAAATACAGGAACACAGGTCTTGGCGGTGTGTGGTTGTTTGTTAGTTTTGTTGTTATTTGTTTGTTTGTTTGTTTTGATTTTTCTGTAGTCCACATATGCCTTGGCCAACTAGGAAGTGTTATTTTACCAGCCTTACTCAGGCTTCAGACTGGAAGGCACGGAGTGAGTTTACAAAAGGTCCTATCCCAGTGACAGAGGGTACATGATTTGGAACAGATTTGTGCAAATAAGTACTTCTATTGAAAAAGAAAACAGAGGGCTGTTTTGGATTCCTCCAAGGTTCAAATCAAGTGTGTTCTCCAAGCTCTGGTGAATTTTGTAAGGATATATCCCTGCTGAAATGTCCCTGTTGTGATAGCGGTACTCTTATAATACCTTACCCGAGTGCTGGCTCGGTGCTGCCTGGAACTGCTCTGATTCAGAACCAAGGTATAAAAGCACTGACAGGTGAAGAAAACTTACGTGTGGCACTCGGGAAAGACAGACTGCTATTTTCGTAATATCCAGGAACAGAACAGATTAAGTGGTCTGAAGTGGTCTGAAGGACAACACTTGGCCTTGCATTTAGCACTAGAAATTTTGAGTGATACCATGTAAAGTCTTAAATGAGCCTTTTTAACGTGGATGTTTGAATATAGTAGCACTCTGGCAAGGTCAAGGGTGTCATGTATAGGATGGCATAATGCTGAAGTACTGCACATCTGTATTGTGTGTTGACCACATTTGATTGTTTGCAGACGAGCAGCCTTTTATCAGGAAAGATGAACTCTTTGAAGAACAGATCCTGGAGTACGTGTTTTCTCAGTAGGGTGGAAAAAAGTCAGACTGGTACAGCCACTAATCAGGTTACACCATGCCAAAGGGTGTGATTCTTCTCATTGTCATATTATGTTAAAAAGATGAGCCGTTGACATACTGTAAACCTAATAAACATACTAAACACTGAAGGCCATGTTTGCTCAGAGTGTTGAGTACAGTTATAATCAAGAGGATTATTAAGGCTGGAAGGTATTTAAAGTGAGAGGAAAGAAATGTCTAAATTTAGGATGAGAGATTAAAAATATTCATAAATATTGTCTAGGTCACTGGAAAACAATCCATCACAACAGTAAGTAACCTCACCTTGCCTGGCACAGCAGGAAATTAGTAGTCAGTTTTCTTTCTTGCTGTTTGCATCCTAGATTAAAGTTTCTTTTCCCCATCTGAATGACAAAAGCAACTAGTCTGCAAGAAAAGTAAATTCTGTCACAGATTAGCTGGCTCCACATCTCTGGACAAAGAGATAATCTGAATAAAGTCCATTACTTAAATGTCTCTTTTTTGTCTTTTCTTAATCACGAATGGCAAAGTACAAGGCATAACGCAAGCACTGTATAGAAAATGGGGAGGAAAAAATCTAACGCCGTGACTCTGGACTGTCAGAACACAGTGAGATTTGTCCTGTTCCAAACCATCCTCCTTGGGTCACATCAAATAAGAAGATTAGCTCTTCTCTTTCTATGTGGTATACAGTAGCTTTTGTGGAGTGCCTTGAAATACGGAGGAGCAAAACTTTGGCCTGCATGAGTCTGAAAGTGGGCAAATAAATCTCTATTAATTGTTTCAGTGAGGACTTGTCCTGCCTTCACTGTAGCCCATGGCAAAGCTTCTAATAACTGTAACTGTGAGGTCAAGTCATAGGATATCATTCAGCCCTGAAAGATCTTGCCCTTTAGTTAGGTGCTTGTGTGTGGTATTTAGCTGCATAAGCAGAGTAGCAGATGTCTGAGCACGCATAAAACACAGCACCTACAATGAAAGCAAATACCTGCTCTACGTTCAGCTTAAAAGGCATCATCATGCCTCTGGTGGAGTTAGCTGGACACTTACAGAGCCTGGGTCTGGCCCCGGATGAAGCACCCTACCTCTGGGAAACATGAGTGCAGAGACAAAGAACTGGTCCTGTATTGTGTAGAGGGGTGGCATGGCATCAACAGCTTACTATTTTCCCTTGGTTTACTTACACTTGGCTAAAAATAGCTTACACAACGCAAGTGATATTCTTTTTTTTTTTTTTTTCTTTCTTTAGCTGAAAGTCTTCCCCTGAATCTGAGTTTGTTCCCTTACTACATAGTGTTTTCAGTTTCCATTTACTTTTCTCATATGTTTAGTTACCTTACTCTCTGACCCTCTTTTCACTTCATTTTCCTATTGGATGTCTTTTTTTTTTTTTTTTTTTTTTAAATACTCTGTTTCACAGAAGCTATTAGTGTAAGGCAGATCAAATAATTTCAGGGTTAAAGCAAACCCTTGAACTCAGTGTTTAATGGATTTGTAATTAGGCCATGTATCCCTGTGAGAATGGGCAGTTTGAGAATTTACTAGGATTTGCAGACGGATTTAGTAGCCTACTAAATGTTTCCAGACCTATTAAATTCCTTAAGAAGTTTTAAAGACACCACCTATTTAGGCAGGGAAAGATTCTGAACTAGGATGTCTCTAAATACACACAAGACTGAGAGATAAGGAGTAGAAAAATGCCTGTTTTGCAAAGAAGAAGGAAAAGTTTCAAGGATTGTATAATTTTAATGCAGAGATACATTTTGGAAAAAAAAATCTATCGTGGTAACACATGGCTACTTTAAACCATATGACGTGTTTTCTCTGAGACCTTATTTGCATATTTAATGGTACATGAATGTTAAAATACACATTAAACAGGCATTGTATGTGTATCATACTGTAGGTATATATGACCAGTACTACTTTCTGATCCTAGAATATATAATTGTATTTAAATAAAAAAACATAAAGTATTTGCTTTCCATAATCCAACCTGTTTGCCATTAATAAGATTCTGAGGCATTACACCTCTATCTTTTGAGGAGATCAGATCATATCTGTTAAATGCCAGGTGATACAATTATGAAGTAACGGTTTATTCTTACTCGTAGCTACTTGGACTCTCAGGATAGATACTAATTTTTTGTTGTTACTTACTTTCCACAAAGAAAGGGCAAACTACATATAACCATAATACCTTCCTCCCCCTTCTCCACCTCTCAGTGCATCTGGTTAAACTTTGGACAAGGTGGAGGAAGGGGAATGGAAAGGCACAGAACAAGCGGTCAGTTTTCTCACAGTAGCATAATGCTGCTGTTTCTTTTACCAGGTTAAAGATGCCTAAAGAGTAAATGAGTTTCTTCTTCGTTCAGTGATTACCCTGTAAATACTACACAGGATTAAATTGCGTCCAGTCACCTGTACAACTAAGTGAGTGCAGAACTTTAAATTTGAGCTGTTTGGATCTACTTTGGGGTTAGCAGTGGGTTTGACTTGTGAAATTTGGTTTGCTTGAATTCAGATTTTCTCTTAACTGTAAAGTATACCTTCATCTCTCAAAGTGGTTTGAGTCCATACCCCTATCTCCTGACAGCAGCAATCTGAATGTGCTCATAGATACTTAATTTGTTCAGCCCTGTGTAATACTCATGTCCTGCAGTTACAGTGAGCTTGATTACATCTTGTTAAGGAATATAAATTCATCTGTTCCTGTAACTACTCTGACTGCTGTCTCCGTTACCTCCCTAATTACCTGACTGCTGGCATCCTCAGTGCAAATAACATGTTTCTAAAAAATGCTGACTGTTCTGAGTGGTGAGATAACAGAAATGTACTACAGCCTGCCTTGTGCCTAACAGCTTGCTGTTATACAGAGAGCTACAATGAACTTTTATTCTCTTATTTACACAACTCCAGAGTAGCTTTGTTACCTGCAGGTAAAGCAGTTCCACTGCAGTCTTTGGCACTACATTAGGTTTGTACCACCGATCATCCAACCTAACAGCATGGAGTTTGGCTTTCTTTAACTGATAGCGGCAGCAGGAGTTGATAGTTCATTGTGTCATGCTGTGAGTTCTTAAAATATAATCAAAACTATTAATCTGAAGAGTTTCTGAAAACAAAATTGCTGTTTAAACATCAAGCACAAACTGTCCTTTCCTCTTTCTTCACAGAATTAGCTTTTGAAAGGCCAAGAGCTGCTGCAGAGATAACAAGGACTGAAGAATTTACAGCAGCTGGTACCAACTGTGCAAGTACAACTCCCAGCCAAAATAATGTGACACCCAGCTGCGTGGAAGCCTGGGGAATCAGCAAGTGACTCAGGAGGAAGTGAGAATGGAGAATCTGGCTGCAGCACCAAGCCCACTCCAGAAGTGTGTTATTATTCCCTCTCATTCAGTGGGATAGCCCCCCAGGGAATGCCATGTTAAAATTAAAAAAGACTTCTGATATAAAAATCTTTTTTCACCTGAGACAAAATTTGTTTGTCCTCATGTATGCTGGTGCCATCATTATTAATTTTTGGTTACAGATCAGTATTTGCTTCTCTTAAGTAAATAATATTCTGTTCCAATAGAGATTGCTGAGCCAAAATAAAATTCATATGAATGTAAATAGTCCTGTTTTCCCAGTTTTTGTCTATCACGTTCTGTGAAACACCTTTGGAAGAGCCTCCTGTGTCTTGAACAGCCTAACTGCAGATATCCTGGATGATCATCCTAGTTGGTGTGGAATGGTGGTGGTAAAGAAAAGCTATTTACCTTTTCTCTTAAGATTTTATTTTATTCTTTTGAACATTGTTTGATGTGGATATTGGTTTCTTAAGAAGCTGATGAAGTGTGAAGAGGGTTGATTCTGCTGGAATGATAAATGGATCGGTGCTATATATTTTACAAGATCAACTATGTAGAACTGTGTGTAAGACAAGACCTAAATATATACTAACATGGTCAATTTTTATTTATTTATTTATTTTGTCCACAATGAGCCTTGTACTCACTGGAGGAAACTTGCTAGAGTTCACATAAACACTGAAACAATCTGTAACAGCGGTGATATTGGCTACAGCTTTCCAATTGCTAGCATATTTAAGGCTTGAGAGAATGAAGCCTATCACAGTTATAACAAAGCCGCTGCTGAGGTAGAGGTCATGATGTTTCAGTTATGTGGAGATCAAAGGATAAAAATGCTAAGATGCTTTATGATTAAAACAAAAGTTTAATCTTTCATATGATTTAATAGCAATTAGAGAGAACAGTCCAAACTGATTTGAGATTTAAAAATTAGCTTTTTCTGCTTGCAGCATTTTAGGAGATTAGAAATTTGAATTAGCTGTTCTTCATTTAAGCTATTCATAGCTTTGTTAAGATGAATTCCAGCGTTAGTTATTTTAAAGGTATAAACAAGTGATATTTTGTTTTAAAATTTCTTCTCATCTTATGGTAGAGGAGCACAGTATGGTTTTCCAGCATAATAATAATAATTAGTATTCTGTATGAGGTTCTAATAAAATAAAAATGCACATAAAAATCATTTGTTTGAGCTGAGATGCATAGAAAGCTTTGAAAACAATGAGAAGAGGGGTTTCTCTGATGTTGGTAAGGCTCAGGAACAGATGCAATTCAGCGTTGTTCATCTCTGAGCTGTGTTTCTCCCACACAATTGCAGCTAAGACTCAAAAGACTTTGAAAGTTTGAAACTTTAAAAGTTCTAAAGTTCTTTTGGAAGCTCTGAAGTTTTAAATTTACCTCCCTGGACCATTTGCTAAATTTAAAGAGTTCAGATGCTGGTATAAGAACAGCCTGACTAAATAAGAAATGCCTGAGGAGGTGACACCACTGGCTTTCTATGAGTAAGTTTTGCTAAAATAAAATTAATGAAAATGTTTACTGTGTTTATTGCAGCTGAAAAAATACATATAGAAAATTTCAGTCAAAATATATGCTTGTGTAACAAATGTAATTGTACTGTTCATTTTGTTAAGCTGTGACCTGCTTTGTTTTTGTGTTTCTGATTTAATGGAAAAGTGCATTAACAGCCTGCTGTGAAATCATGACTTGCCTGGGGCCAATCAGATGATCTATCAGTAATAACTTAAAAAATACTGTGGTAAAAGGAGCTCCTGGCACATATCCTTTTTAAATTCTAATACTCTTCTCTAATGATGGCCAAAATAAGATACAAGACTGAAGCAAATGGAAGCTTGTACACTTTTGGAAACATAGTCATTGTTATCCTTTGTTCTGAAGTGCTAATATTTTATTCTTGACAGAAGAAGCCTTTCTCCATTCTACCCCTTGTGAAATTCTGCAAGGGCTCTGTATAATAAATTCAGGACACAGGAAGCCAAGCTAACATTCAAATAAGTGGTAGATGGGCAGAGGTGTCCTTGAAGTCATCAAAAGCTGATTGCACAGAAGTACTGAAAACAAAATATTTAAGTTTGAAAATACTGGTTACAGTGAGTTTCAGTGTATTTCCTTCACATTTAGCATGATATCCATCTGAAAACCTGTCTTTGATTGTATCTCTGCATGCGAGCAATGTTGCTGCATTTTTCTAAGATACTCTCACTTGGGCTAGCTGCTTTTTTTACAGTAAAAAGAATGCAAGAAGGTCTGAAATACTCTGCTTTTAACATAGTGTATGTTTCCACTATTTTTTTCTGGATACCATTTATGCAATATAACCTACTAGAATTATTTCTTTCCAAGAAGAACTTAACGTTTCTGGATCTCGTGTCTTATGAAGAATTGTCTATGGTTACCTGATGGTATATTCAATGAGCATTTGTATTCTCTAGAGCTGCAGCCATTTGTAGCACAGTTCCCACCTACTTTCCATTGGAACTCAAACTCATAAATAATTGATATGCTTTTGGAAAAATCTGGTCTGTCTAATAAATTCTTTCCTGCCTTAATGCACTGGAAAACGGGTTTAAATAGGGCCCTGTGAACATACTGGTTCCTTGTTAATCGGTTGCTGTTGTTACTAGGAATTTTTGTTTAGTTTATTTCATTTCTGATGTGAGCTGCTGAAATGGTGTATTTTGATTAAATGTGAGATGAACATATATAATAGTATAGTGAAATATCATTGACTGGATTGAAATGGAAGTTATTTGAAACAGAGTAATGCTTGTGATGAAATGGATGCTCTGAAATGTGGAGTGCTGTCACAGCAATATGAATGTTAAAGGACATCCTCATGTGGTAAAGTGTGAGTCATTCAGCATTAGAAGAATGAAGACTGAGAAACAGCCCCAAGACCATCAAAGGCATATCTTCAAAGCTTGTCTGGGATAGTTGGATTCAAAATGCAAGAACTTAATCTCAGAATAAAATTTTAATACATTTTAAAGCAGGAAGAGTGGTTTGGGTTGGGATGTGCACCATACAATTCCCAAGTTCAAGACATAAAAGCTGTCTTAAGTCAACTAATACAAACCAACAAAATAGCCCTTATTTATATGAAGTCCACTGATGAACTAATGAAATGGAGTTTTAGTGATTTTTATATATATATATACACACACACATATATACACATATATATGTATTACTGCCTTTCAGAAAGGTGATAGGAATCCTGGGAACTGCTCTCCTGCTCTACGTACTTTAAAATAAGTGCATAACCTGTGTTTTCTCTATTGTAATCTCCACCAGAAGAAGAGAATAGTTTTCAACCCCCTCTCTTGTTATTACTAAATACGTTAGAGTTGTTCATTGTATGGGTGGAATATTAAGAAATGTTATAAAAAAAAAAAAAAAAAAAAAGTCAGACTTGGGAATGTTTCCATTCTTTCTCCTAGTAAGGCTCTACTGGCGTATGTTTGAATACCACCCAGTCTTTCAGGACTGTCTCACACAGGAGATGGATAACACTTGTGCCTTGCTTTTTGCTGTGTGCATAATACAGACTGCTGTAATGGTATCTATAAGTTGAAGCTTTAATAAATTAAATATGGTAACTCTTGAATTTGATATAACTTAATTATACATGCCACTCTCGTTCTCTGCTATATCCACATAAGCATTTGGTACATTTGATGTTCTTAGCAAAGAAAACAGCATACTTCTGGAACTGCTTTTGCAGAAATGTAGGCTGCAGCTAGACAATGCCATGCAGATAAAGCAGCAGATGTAGAATGATGATACCTTGATGTAGTCTACCCTGCCCTACACCAGTAACTTTTCACAGTAATTCACCGCTTAACGGCTCCTATGAAGAAGAAATGGGGTGGGAGTCTAGGCCAGTTCATTCCACTAAGGGAAGTTTTCTCAGCTGTGCTGTCCTGGTTGTGACTGTAGAAGTAATCCTGCTGTGCAGCACAGCCGTGGGGGGTTTGGGAGAGTTGAGGATGTCAGCTGTACCTCCTGAGATGAAACAGGTACATCTGAATGTAGTTAAACTTCAACCTTCATAAAGGAGAGAAAGATGGTGTGCTCACAAGGGTGAGAGTTGGGCTCTTGGAACTAGGTCAGGGCATGCTGGCAGATAATATCTGTCTCTTTGAGTGTGATTTGCTTAGATCTGTATTTTTGGGGGAGTTTACAGAGAGTACATAGAGAAAATATGTCTAGGAAAGTTTAAGTTCTGTCTGCTGAGTAAAACCTTCAAATGGGAACATCTGGCCAGGCAGTGTTGCAGCATACATGTTTTTGGGCTTCTCATTCTGGTTCAACTGTGTTGGGGCAGGCAGGCAGGTGGGTGGGGAAGTAAATTGAAGTTTAGGGAAACAATGTGTCAAGTAGTAATTGCACTCAGGAAGGATGAATAAGAGTTTCCTAATTAAAAGATGTTTTGCAGGGAGCTTCAGCTTAACAGAGTGACTGCTTTGTCTTAATTGTTTTCTGTCAGTGTATATTTATATGGGTGTTTGTCTCTCACTGGTCTCTACTCTGTGAGTGCAGTGTGCTATCTGGTGCTAATGAGAAGACAGCTGTAGTTCGGAGAGAAAGGTGTGTGTTAAACTCCAGGCCTGCTTGCCAAGCTGCTTACTTCATCAGGTGTTATTCTGTTCCAGTTTCAAGCCCTGTTCCTGGTTGTCTCTCCAGGAGATGAGGGAGTGATTGTTTGGAAAACTTAGGAAAGAAAATAGGCTCAGTGGCATGTGAGGTGAGCTGGATCTGTGGGAGAGATGTACGTACAACTGAGAAGCTGCTTAAGATTCCCTGTGCAGAAACTTAGAAGAGGGAACAAGGTATAACCTTGGGCTGCTTGTGATCCAGCTTGATGAATATAGAAATACTTAATTTTGTAATCTAGCTAAATCTCTGCCATTCCTCATGAGCCCATGTTCCTAAATTAAAGAGGCCAGGTATGTAAGTTGAATATATCTTGTAATAAGAGAATCTTCTCTCTGCTGCTTTTAGGTTTAGTATTTTTCATGTAGATCTTGGATTTCTATCTCAAGTTAATTATGAATCCTTATAGTTCAGGAGCAGTTGCCAATGGGTGCTTAATCAAGAGAATGCAAGCTAAATTATGCTTCTTGTCAGTTAATCGTAATTTTTGTGCTAGTGTTCAGAAGAGATCTGTATCATCCCATAAACAAGAACAGCATTATTTATTTGGGGAAATTATTGTGTGTATGAAAAAAGAGTTTTATTGGAGTGAACTTTTTTTTCTTGCCAAATGTCACAGCACTTTGCCTTTGCTCTTGCTATTTTAAAATTGTGCACTTTTGACAGCCACTTAAATACATTTTCCAATCATAATTTACTGTATGAGGTTTTTTCCCCAGGGTGACAGTTAGGGACTAGAAATAAAGGATGATATTTTTGGGCAGTGAGAGTGGATACTAAATTAAAACAGAAATTAAGCATAATACTGTTTTCCAGTTGCACTCCAGTGCACAAAGAAAACAAATCCTGAGCGTGATAACCAGTATTGCCACCAAAGATTTCTAGGCCTCCTTTATAAATGAGTGAGACCATGCTTGCACTGGTAACAGGTTCAAGTCCCACTGTAAATAAAAAGCACTCAGGCAAATATCTCCTGAAGAAAACAAAATTCTTCTTTCCTCCCATGGTACTCGGTCACCTTTCTGACAGCACGCTCTTAGCTCCAGTGTCTTCAGGAACACAAGTAAACAATACTGAGCTCATGTCTGGGACAGAAGGAGGGCATGGTTAAAAATGAGAGAGTTCCGAACTGTCTCCAAGAGTTGAATGTGGTCAGTGCTGGCAGGAACGTAAATAATAACAAATAAGATAATGCAACTCCTAACAGTGAGATCAGCTGGCCTGAGCTCATTTTTACCAGCTCCTCAAAGTAAAGGAAAATGTATTTTGGTTTGAAGCTTTTCCATGTCAATCAAAGACCAAAACACTGGTCCTTTTTCCTTGTCACAAAGGCCTGACATGGCAAGTGTGTGAAAATGATAATTCTTGGTCATCAGGGTTCAGAGACTGAGGAAGTCACACAACAAAAGCCACAGCTGTGCAGATATCGTTGACCACTAGTATGGAATGCAAATATTACATAAAAATCAACGTCAGGCCTTAAATAACTTGAAGTCTTAGACAGGGTGCGATTTACTTGATGCTGGTACAGAAAATCTACAGTTCTTCTGATGAGCATCCACTTTCCAGGTTACTTCTTTGTGGAGCACAGCAGGCTATTGAACTTTGAGGTGAGAAGCACAGGTTGTTAGGGCTCTAGATATGCCATATCTAGAACTCTTCTCCTTCAGAGCTTCCCTCAGGAGCTGTATTCGTGCTGTTGGTTATATTGTGATTTTCTGCAGTATTGCACTGCCGTCTGACCAACTACGCTGTGTAAAGCTGATGTCACTGGGCTGAGGATTGAAGAAAGTTGTTTTGTAGATACCTGAATTCTGTGAAACCAGGGGGTGGTGCCAAGTGGTTTTAGACTGTTCTTAGTGTAAGGAGCAACTGTTACAAAACAAAGGGCAGAGCAGGACTCAAGTTCTAGAATGATTCCTGTGGGTGTGTAATCTCATAACATCGTCAGGCTGAGCAAAGAGCTAGTGGAGAGTGTCTATTCTGGGACAGCTTTTGTCTAAGCGTTAGTTCAGACACACACAAGCATTTCTCATTTGTTTAGGCTTTCTGGGATTTTAATTGAGCTGTTTGTCTGACTTTTTTTTTTTTTTTTTTCCCTTCCCCAGTGCACATTCTGGTGTAAGTAATATGAATGACTTCACTGCCCCTTCAGTGCCTCACATTCTTTTGGACATTGGAAAATATCTACCGCTCCCAACTGCTGGAGTTTTATGATGTTTATTTTTGTTTACTTGACATTTATACTGAAGACACCACAACAGCTTGTTTATCATTGTCCTGAATACAGTTCAAGTAAATGCCAGACCCCCTCTTCTCAATATCTGATGTTTAAGCTTGATTTTGATGCTGTGATTTTGTCACATGAAAGCCAGACAAAAAGACACAGCAACTTTATATTTCAGGTGGAAATTCCACTATTGTCTTAAGGTGTTTTTTGGTTCCTTGGAGAAGTGCAATTTTTTGGCTGTCGCACAGTCTGTTTTCTCTCTATGACCAAGCACAGGATTTAGTTGCAATCATTAATCCCATTTCTCTCCCTTGTATCTGTGACACTTGGTTCAGCGTTTTGGTGTCATTAGAAGTAGGTGCCCCAGTTAGCAATCTTAGCTGCCTTACTTAGTTTTTGAGATAAGTTCATGTCTCTGTTGCTTATTTTGAAAATAGTTCATTAGTTGCAGGCAAACTGTAAATCACAAAGCTGGGCACTGCAGAGTGTGAACGAAAGCTCTTTCCAGTCTGGTCACTTTTGAGATGCACAGTTCATAGTGTAGGAACTGGGAGCTTTGGTGGTGGAAATTGTTGACTCCTTGCAGAGACCAGACTGCTGACTGCTTTGAAGGATTCTTTTTTTTTTTTTTTTTTTTTTTTTTTTGAGTATCTACTGATAATGTAGATAGTTGCAAAATTTCCATCCATGATTGTAAAGTTAACAGAAATTGTTCTATCTGTTTGTGACTGATAAGATCTTCTGATATCCATCAGAGCTTGTGCTAGAGGTGTCTTTTCCTTCCTGTCACAATCACATTCTCACATGGACCACTGTGATGCTGGCTTTGTAACACATTTCCTTGCTCACATAATGAGGAGTTGAGAATTTATTGGCAAAATGAGTGGAAGATATAATTCTTCCTGGTTTCTGAATGGAAGTTAGTGCATTTGTCCCATGAAGCCTTTTTTAGAGGCTGCCTGTTTCCAGCTCTACTACATATGATTAGTGAATTAGTGAAAGCTCTCAGGGCTGAACTCTTTGAAACCTAAACTAGAAGTGTCTGCAGACTTTAACATTCACCCTCTCATGTTTTTTTTTTTTTTTCCAGAATAGTTTGTATTTGTCTGTGCTTGAGATAAATACAAGAGTGATCTTCAGCAAAACTAAAATGAGAGTGTCTGAAAGCTCACTGGGTGGAAATGCAATGTGATTTCTGTTGTGTCTCTGTAATAGGGAGGATATTAATTTTCTGAGCCCTTACTTACTAGATTTTGTCATACTTAAAATATATTAAGTGGTGACAAAGTCATCTAAATGCTTGCAGAAAGAGCTTGTTTTTTATTCCAGTCAGTTATGACTGCTAAATACCTGCCTATGTTTAAGTGCCAGATGACTGCTAAAAGGAGCTGAAGAAATGCTTATATTTTTATTACCCTTTTTTCCTCCCAAAGCTGGGAGGCTACATAAATCCTCTTGCCGTGTACCCTTAACTGCACTGCTCCTCCTGGAGCTCTGGTTAGGGATCCTCAGCTCTTTGCCTCGCACTGTAACTGCTGTCTTTCATTGCTGGAGGTTTAGCGCATCAGCCCATGTCCTGTCGTTAATACAGGGGGTGACGTGCTGGAATGGGCCAATATTCCAGCTGTGTGAGCGTCTGACTCTTACTAGTCAGGGCTTTACCTTGGTGACGTTATAAAGACTGAGCCAGATGATTACAGACCTCACTTTCATGGTGTGGGGTGGGCTTCTTTTTCTAGATGGTGCTAAATTACCATGCACCCGGCTGCTGTGGTGTAAAGGCCAGATTAGGTTCAGTCTCAGTATGCACAAGTGCTGTGTGTCAACTTTGTAAGTGATAATCTGTTCAGATAGACCCTTTTCCCTGTCTGTGAGACACCGTATTTGTAGTTATGCACTCTGTGAGATGATGGCCTTGGGATGTGAATTGATGCATAAATGCAGCAAGCCATTTCAACAGTTCAGCCAAATTCTCTTACCAAAGCTGAAGACCACTTAGCATTCAAACAGTTATTTGAAGTGTGATTTTTTTTTTTTAATTTATTTGTGTTTTTAAGAAAAAAAATAACAGCACAGTCTATTAGTAAGCAGTTTCACCTGGCTGCACTTCAGTGGAGTGTTCAGAAAGGGCTTTGAACTGCTTTCATAACGTCTGCCTTTATCCGGGGACACTAGATACTGTTGGCATCTTCAGAAATAAAAATTTCTCCTTCTCTTACCTTTTCTTGATGATTGGTTGTTAATCTCACTTTAACAATCTTGTCCAAATAGCTATTCTATACATACCTTTGTCATGGCTTTTTCTTGTAAATCTTTCTTGATTTTCACACTTGAGCCTCTGAAAATGGCCCACCTGCCCCATTTACTATATTGTATTAATTTATTAGCCGTTTTATGAATGTTTATCCAAGGATTACATTTGCATGTTGCCAAAAGAATCTTACAAATAAGCTTCTACCTAAAATTACACATCCTCAATAATGTTTGTGATTTCTACATACACATAATTCATAGTGATAGTTTTATAGCTGGTTTTATGAGGTAACAAATTAAATTTGTTATTCACTTCTGATCTTTGTGTGTGCAAAATAATAAAACATTCAGGCACCTGGTAATACTTTTTTTGAAGATGTCATGTTCCTTTTCCCAGTATAATTTTTGTCCACATTGTGAATCTCAGTCCTCACAGAGGCAGTATTAAATG